TGTGACATTGATGTTAGCAAACATCGACGTCCAAATTTAAAATATCAATGTTCAAAATACATCGATTAAAAACCATCGATGTTTTTAAACATCGATGTATTAAAGTGGGTTTAATAATATCTAACATTAATTTTAGGGCTTAGAGTAACCTCTAACATGAAATTTGAGTGCACTAAAATTTATTTTGACAGCGTTCGTGTTTATCAATTCGCCAAATAACGGTACGGGAAGCAGGGGCAGAACCACAGGGTATTTGAATATTGCAATCCATTTCTTTGTTGTACATTTTTTAAGGTTCAGGTATTCGTCAGATGCGTGTCATGAAGGGAAATTTTAGGTCTGCTTTACGAGCGTGTCAACGCTGACTTTATACATCTGTTACTGACAACTAGCCTTGTAATAGAAGAAGTATCTCCGTTCACATTGCCACAGAATTCTATGTAGATGGTATCTATTCTGTGACAGTGCTGTTGCTGCGTTGATATCTAAATAGAATACGAATACTCAATAAGTTATAACGGCACTGAATTACAAATGTAAATTAAACCGAAATATCTGTACATATCGGTCATTATATACCACACACCATAATATTAAATAATATTGTAATATATATTATTAATATTTTGGCATAAGAAATGCAAATAAAGATGGTGTACTACAAAGGCGGTGAAATTATAAACCTCGAAAACGAACATTACGATAAAATGAAAGGGGAAAATATTTTGATACAAAAGAATGAAGTGGAACAAGCCTGTTTAATTTCTTGTCTTCTTTAGAAATGTACTTGGGGGAGAAAGACATGGTTTTCATCTCATTCTACAATTCAAGTTGCCGACTTTCACTGGCGTGTTCGAACTGTCACACGCTCCGAATTATTTTTTTGGCAGTAAAAAAGCGTGTTCATTATCTAGGTAGTTCATTATTAGAATCTACTTGTATAATTTGTCCATTCTGTAATTTCCTTTGAGATCATTATAGTCGTAACGTACACTACGCTCGTTTTTTCAAATAATTTATAATTACCTAACTTTCTTTCTAATTATATTGAACAAATAGGTCAAAATGGAAATATAAGAAAAATGAAACGGTAACGTTTCCAATGCAATGTGTGTTTCTTTGCTAATATCTTGAAGATAGTCATAAAGGTTGGGAACATGTTTAAATATTTTTAAAGCCCACATTTTTGCATAAAAATTAATGCAATTTGTTTTACGAAGTTCATAATTTTGATCAGTAATCCACAATTGAATTAATACTTATTGATTATGCGAATCTTAATTGTTTTCCAGAAAATATGTTTCCTGCACGAACAACAGTTGAGTCGTGGCTTATTGTTATCCCTCTTTAAGCCAATGTCAACCGGATTTGTATTCGGAACGGGTGTTTGAAGCAACGCGAGCATTTTGCTTTCTCGTTAACACAAGTAGGTTAGTGAGAGCCGAGATAAATACAGGGGTATTGTTCAGTTTAAACATTCACATAATTTGACGTCTGAATTTGTGGGTAATTAGCAGACTACATGCGAACTGGCTGACAGTTGTTACGGATTTCCCCGTATTTCCAAACAAAATATTTTGGACGTATCTAATGAGCGGGCCGTTGGTTACATATTATCTTGTGTGATTCCAAGAAGACGCACGGGTAAATTGACTGTGTTTATGAATGAGGCATTGTGACAATTTTTACCAATCCAGGTTTATTGTTTAATGTTCCAGGACGGAGTATTGAGGAAGAATAACATGTTACTGTGAAGTTAATTAGGGATCAGTCCAAGAAAACTTATGATCATGTTTGACAGAAAGTCACTTGATTTAATGAGACTGATCCATTGCTCCACATTACCTTGGGCAGAGTTCTTCATATCTTTGCAGTGTCATTTTGCAGACAGGTCAAATCTTATTACTTATTACTATATACTTAGGTGAACTCATTTTAGCATTTACGAGGAAAACCAAACGGGTTGCACTCAGTTTGTGCCTTTTTGGGAAAAAAATGAAGGTTGAGAAAAAGTTGGCCATGGGATTTAATTGGGATACGTCCAAAACATGCTTTCACTTGCATTCACTGAACAATTGTATTAAAATGGTTTATGTCGTTCAACCTTTCCTTCTGGGCAAAATATTTGGTGTTGGCCATTGGCGAGAATTTAATTTTCTAACGATTAATCGTAATTATAAAGATAAAGATAAGATAAATTTATTTCAACTGCAAATGGATGTAACCCGGTGGCAGCTAATTACATAAAGAAGGTAATATAACAAACATGCAAATTATATAATAATAATAATAATAATAATAATAATAATAATAATAATAATATAAAAACTGACTGATTCATAGAACATTAAATTACCTTAAGAAAAATAAACTTCTGTAATTTATCTCCGCACTGAATGTTTGTTGAATTAAGATCACACTTCACTGCCACTGCACTTCAATACGACCCTTAAATCGCTTCTTTCATTATTTCTCTGCTCTACACTGCACGACACCTCACTTCACAATATATCACTTATGCATCGCTCTATAACCTATTATTATTATTATTATTAAAATCCCTCATTTACTTAGTAATACTCTAAATTTATTTCCTCAATTGTTGAAAGCTTGGAAGCACTTAAAATCTCTCTACTGTTTTCTCAAACTTATGTAATCGAATACTCGTGTGCGTTTTTAAAATACATCCGTGAATTTGATTCATCAGAGAAACAAAATCTGCGAGAGCGTGTATGCGTGAGGGCACGGGCGCGATTGCAGTCAAGTTTTGCACGACAGCGCGCCGGGTCAGCGGGGGTGGAGGAGCGGGGTAGAGGGAGGTTCAGCATGCGGGGCGGGTGGGCTGGTGCCAGTAAGGGAAATCTGATCAATAGATGATTATGGTTAAAAAGCCAGGGCCAAGCCAAGGAATCAGCAAGTAGTATACAAAATTATTTGAGACATCAGGCCTACCTACTGTATAGTATATGTTGTTGGCGTGACAGCCCGTGAACGGGCTCAAGCCTACCCGCAACGTCGCTGCCTCGTGGCCATGGGTTTAGGGGGTACGTGTGGTTATCTCCTTCCTGTCTTCTCAACCTGAGAAGTGAATTTTCGTATCGTCACACTGCAACATGTACTGGGACATTGCAAGGAAAACGCACACTATAGCCACGAGCACATACCTCTATTATTCGCTATTATTATTGCTTTTAAGCATGAATCTTTGCTTCTGTTATCAAATATATTGCTACAAAGAATATAAGTTTGTATATATTTCTTTCGTTTTCTAAACCATTTTCATTTTAATAATCTGTTCTCAGGTAATTGCCGTTAGATATACCCTGTTTGCAAACTGAGTACTGTGAATCATTTCTGTTCTTCCTCTTGAAATCCTCGTGAAAGTTGTTGAAGAACCATCGTTAAAACACAGAACGGTCTATTATTTATTTGACCTGCTTTACCACCTGTGCGAAGCTTGGTGTTTAGATAGTGAAGCTCTAAACTCCCTCGCATCTGGTATCTAGAGACGTGTGTGTGTATATAAATATATTTTATGAGTTTGTAAAGAAATTGCCTGGTGTAATAAAACTTCTTGTATTTTTAATGACAACAAAAAGTATTAGCAACATTTATAGTCAATAACTACCAGAAATATTTATTTTGATTGAAATGAAATCTATTTATATCCCAGATGAAATGAGGATGATTTTGGAAACCAAAGCTAAACGAATAATTATTAGTTGTTTCCGTTTCTTGCCTTGTGATACGTTTCTATTTCACGCTATGGAGAGGATTAATTATTTTAAAAAAATATTTATCGCGTTATTTCCACTTCGTTTTGTATATATTTTGTTTTTCATTATTATTTTAATTTTATATTTTTCATTTTATTCCTATTTTTGATTTATTAATAATTCTGTAATTACATTCATTCAGTGTTCATTGACATACCAGTGAAACATCGCATCTTACTAATTTACTCATGTAGGGTTTTTAAATTCATATGTATAAAAAACCGTGTGTCATGTGATTAATGGAAAGTATATTTACTATACAAGAGAAAATAAGGGAAGAAAACACCAAGAAGAATTGCCAGAGTGTTGAATAAAACGGCTCCATCGAGATGTATATCATTGACTCAATGGTATATAAAACACACTTAAACGTATGTTAGAATCGTATGCTCACATTTTATTTTAAATATTAATCATGAACAATCAATAAGTGCAAGACAAGAAACTAGATTTTCATATAGAGTGATAGTCTGCATCTTATATATTGTTTGTGTTACTATTGTGTATTCAGGGTAGACGACTGGTGAATCGAGTTGTTCATTGTCCCTCGTTTTGTAGTGACTTTTCTTGAATTTGTTTCTTGTATACCTTTTCTTATTACTGCCCTTCTGATTAGGAAATAGATTATAGAGTATTTCCTGTAGTTTGTTTCTACAAGACATGATTGGGAATGTGTTGGAGTTCGATCATCATTGTTTCTCATGCTAGTTCACCAGAATTATTTCATTGGATTAAAGGCAAACATTACTTATGCTGCAATTCAGGGAGATTGGTTGATGACTCTTACTTTGTTTGAGAGTTATTGGTCAATCCATTTTTGAGTGTTTGCTTAAAACTGTAGTCCTTGGCATTACATTTGTTTCGCCAGTCCTATCTGGGATGACAATTTTTATAGTTCCGAAATAAATACTTTTACAGGAGAAATGTAAATTAAAATGTGTTATTGAAAGACGGTGTTTGAGCCTGAAACATTCACGACATGTAAATAAGATAAATGAGAACGTGAACTATGAACAGTTGTGAGGGTAATGTTCGCTCAAGCCACTCTTAACGTTGAAAGATACAAAAAGATAACTGTTGTTGAAAGAAACAAGTGGGTCAAACGGTTTCTTTTAGCTACTCCAATGTTGTACTATGAGGAAAAAGTAGTTTTTCCTCAATTTGAAATCGAATGTTAAGCCGAATATTCGCCAATTTGAAATCGAATTGACTTATGCCCGACAGGTATCGCCTGTTGGAGACGCAAGAGCTCAATGCGGCACAGGCGCGCGCTCTCGTGGCGGCGGACAAAGGCTGGGACTTCTGGCAAGAGCCGCGAGATCGCGCGCGCGCCGTCATCTTCGCTTCCCCCGAGGAGGCGCCGGCGGTGGAGAGTGCGTTTCAACGACTCGGCCTCCAATTCCACGAGAAGCAGTGGACGCCGCCGCGACCCCATGACGGCAACCCCATGCGGCGCGGAAGGACTGGGGTAATGGACATCGATTTCAACACCTTCTACCGCCTGGATGAGGTAAGGAAATACTTAATGGACTAATAGGAGCGGAATGTGACAAGATATTTTTATATTCCGGAATTATAAACGACATTTTTCGTTACAAGAAATCGTTCATAAAGGACATCGTTCGATACAGATTATGATGTGTTTGTCGTTTATGATACAAGTAATTGCGCCGTCACACATTCAGTCAGTCGGAGCTAGAGAATCGTGGAGAGGTAGCGGTAAATCGAACAGCCGACCGCCGTCTTTTTGGCACAGTTGTCAAATACCCGTGACGTCACAATAAATACAAACATTAACTCTGATTATTTTGTAAATTTATAGTATTGGTATACAAAAAAGACGTTTAAAACAAATATAAAATATAACGTTTAAAGGTAATACAATGTTGCTTTATTTCTTTCGTACGAAGTTGTAAACTCGCTCCTAACGTCTCTCATTCTCAAAACTTGTTCTCAAAGTTTAAAGTTATAAACTAGTCGCATAATATGCACTAATTGCAATATGATCTCAGAAAGAATAACACTAATCTTATTTTTTAAATATTTTTAATTTTTTAAATGCTCGTTATGAAACCTTGAATATTTATTTTTATGAGAAAATAAACAAATTTTTCGAATGAGCCAGAATTCATGTTCGTAAAAATGGTTCCACTGTTTGGTTCTATTTCGGTTTTATCGGAGATTGAGCTCAGTCAGGAAGTACTAAATAAATACCCATATTATATGCAACATAATGCTTATTAATGAAATCTGATAGTGCGCAATTTGTCATTAACCACTTTCAAAATAAATATGTTACCTTATTAGAATATATGTTTCTTGGGAAATATGGTTATGGAGAATTTTCCCGATTTTTTACGCGTAGGGAATTCGTACATGATTGTGCTGATCAATTACATTTTTCTCGTGATTTCTACCCTTTGTCTTTCATTTGTATATGGTTTGCTTGTTCGTGACTCCTCCCAACTTTATGCAAGGATCAACTCTGATCAACTTACCACGCCATCTCTTACCAAACCTGCGCGCAGCTGAGAATTTTTCAACCATTTTATGTTTTGGTTTTATTTTAATTTTGTGTATTTCATGTCCGCTAACTCTTTTCAATACGGCTTTACGAAGTGCGTGTGGATGCGCAGATCCACGCGTACCTGGACAACCTGGCGGAGCGCTTTCCGCACCTGGTGGCCGTGGAGTCGCTGGGCCGCAGCACGGAGGGCCGCGACCTCAAGCTGCTGCGCATCAACTCCCCGCTGGACAAGGGCCTGCGCCGCAAGCCCGCCATCTTCATTGACGCCAGTGAGTCACTGTCTCGAATGACCCATTGATTTCGGGAGCGTCGACAGCTAATGTCACTAGTCCCACAAGTGTTGTGTATTTTTGTTATTGTGGGAGGTGGCGGTGATTTTCCCTCGCTAAAGCCGCGAGATCCGGTTGGCTAGCGGGGGTTTCCCCAACCAGGTATCTCTCACCAGCGAGGCATCGTCTCAGCGGGGTCACTCTAAGATCCTGATTGTTCTTCCGTCATGTGTCCGCTGGTGGGAGATACGTGGTTGGTGAAACCCCGCCAGCCAAGGCGAAGGATCTCCAAAATCCAGCGGAGGAAAATCAAAGCCCTCTAACATGATAAAACATGCACTACACTTACGGTACTACTAAATTTAGCTTTTGATGCTCCCGGAATCACTAATACATCGGAATCTAGGAGATTGCCTCTACTCGTACTTGAGAATGAAAGGCTGTTGGTGGTTTCGGTTCTAGTGATCTTACTTTTTGCCTCACGCGCAGTTCGCGGACGAGTTCCCTCAAAGAAAATACTTCAGTGTGTGCTCCGATGATTGTACTGTTCTGCTGCAAGTGCAAATAAGGCCTAAGCGTACTATGAAATAAACTATTGCGTGAATACTATTTCTTTGTACTTGTACTTGAAAGCTAGGAAGTGACAGTGGAGAGAGGGTTACGTTATCTAATGTAGGTTTCAAATTCTGATGTCAATGTAGAGTATTCTTCTTAAGACAAAAAATGGATTCTTTGTGCGAAAATGAAGATTGAAGAGCTCCATTACTTGTTTGTTTATGCACTGTGTGCGATTGTGTGAAGTCTAATTTTGTGTGCTCTTCCTGCGATTTGTTTCTTGCTACTGCTGCTAATATTTTGATCTGAAGTAAGAACGACCACGTGTCTGCCGCCGAAGTAAATGTCAACATCGTTGTACCCCCCCCAGCTGTCAAGTAGACAGAAATATTATTCGGATAATAATATATTTAATACCACCACATGGTTCACGGGAACCTCTCCAACCACACACGTCATCTCTCTCTGCTAGCATGAATTGGTTTTCTTAAGATTGTAAGTTGTTAGTAAACATCAAATGCAGAATCAGGGTTTCGCGTTTTTAAATGTGTCATGACAGTTTGTATTTTAGAAAAAATCACTGCTTTAGAGAAACTATCGGGCTCGCTTTACGGTTAACGAAATGCTCAAAACGACTGACGGTGCACTCGTTGTTCGCAGCCATCCACGCTCGCGAATGGATAGCCCCTGCCGTGGCGCTGTACATCATCAACCAACTGGTGGAGAACTACGCCGCCAACAGCGCCCTCGTCGATGAGGTCGACTGGTACATTCTGCCAGTGATCAACCCCGACGGCTACGAGTATACCTTCACCGATGTGAGTCAGCCGCGTGCAGCACACTGCTCAAGACCAACAAATGAAATGCTCTCGTACAAGAATGCAATAAATTAAAGATTTGAATAAAAATAGGCTTCGCGAATACTATAATAACATAATGTACACCACATACCCACCAAGAATATAAAAATTCTATTCTTTAAAAAGATCATTTTTTATATTTTAGTATTTTTATATTCTTAAAATAGCACGTGAAAAGCAAATATTTAATATTGGGTGGTCTTTTTCTTGGAGCCTTGCTAACGCTTGACGTCTACAGGGACATTTACTTAGAATGTTGTGGAAATGATTACGAGTAAGCGAGCTTTTACGAAATTTGCTCATTGTGTAGATGCTTCTTGACGAACTAGGTAGCGAGAATGCGGTAACAAGAACTTAGATGGTTTACGCTAATAGGAAGATTTGAATCATTGCAGGTCGCGAATGTGCTCGGCCAAGGAGAGTACAATACTTTATTGATCTATTAAACGAGATGTAGTATGCACACAGTTTAGAAGAAGCTTTGAGTATGTAATTGTCTGCTGAGGTCTGCTATCCCGTATTGGTAAATTATATTCTAATTCAATGGAAATATAATAAAGGAAGTAGCGTAACACATCATACTTTGGGATATAATGGGTTAAGACATTTTATTTGTTCAAAATAGAGCTTATAAACTAACGTAAATGTTTTATACGATTCCACTTAAAGTGACAAAATTGACTTGTCATTAGAGATATGACATCAACTTCGCATTTCTTGAAAGTAATTATTCACAGCAACCAGTAGATACACTTCCCAACCTGAAAATAAGTTAATTAGCCGTTAAAATAATTTGATATTTCATTCTCCATCATAAACTCTAAGAATTGTAGCGTAGAAGTATGTGAGGTATATAAGAATGACATTAAATTATAAAAAACACTTGAAAATATGTTCGCCTTATGCAAACTAACAATTTGTATTTCTCATAACACGTTAAGAAACTTTTATTGTATTCTTTTTACACATAAAAAATCCCTTACTCTGCTAAACCAAGTGACATTGAAAAAATGTAATTTTGCAAGTGAAAATAATTGGCAACAATGTGAAAAATATATTAACATTTATGCGGTAATCTTTGCAGAGACATCTTTCTGGACGTTATATTGCATTTTGGGAATGTAAACTCACTTCGTCGCACAGTCCGCTTTGCTAGAAGCGATCGATATAGGGTTAGAGCACGAGGCCATTTTCACTTTCCAACAAGGAGTTGCAAAGTTTAGAATGTTCGCCTGACTTCACCTAGAATATATTACAAATCAGTTTTCATCGTTCTGATAAAGTCCGGGCATCTTAGTTTGAAAGAAAGTCCAAGTCTCACCGTACAGCACGCCGTTGCAGACGAGAGAGATGAGGGCCGCAAGGCAGGCTCCCATATACAGCATGTAGATCGCGCCACCCAGCGCCAGCACAGAGAACACCATCAGCTTCAAGGTCAGCACCAGGACATACGGCGCCACCAGGCGGGCATCATCCTAGTCTCGAAACGCATTCGATGGTTTCAAGGACTGTATTAGAGGTCTTTACAAAAATTGTTCACATTCATTGCAAGGTATTTTTGGAATCCTGAATATATTTTTGTTAAAAGATAAGGAGGGATAATGGGTTTGGTGGGAACATTGAGAAACCGGAAGTGTGTGAGCCTTTTGTGAAAGGCGATAAATTCCAAGTTGATCGAGCATTTGTGGGTGAAGATGAAAGCATGAAGAATAGAGCAGCCTATGATTATATATGATGTGTAAGATGGATGCTAAAGTGTCCCTTAATTTGAGTGCAACTCAGTGAAAAATAAAGATTTAAGAAATCCACTTTTGGTTGATGGCAGTGTGGATTGTTATTACTGCATCAGAACAGATTGCAAACTAATTGGTGGATAAATGCAAGCGTTAAAGCAATTCTGCAAGTCTACTAAAATTTGATATTTTAGTTCGATTCTTCCTCCTGAGTGCCACCATTTCTTTTCATTAGTGAACGAGAGCAAACATGTCTTTCAATTAATGTTTATTTTTAAATACTCACCTTGAAAGAACTGGCGAATAAGGAGAGAGAAGACAGGAAGAGGAGAACCCAAAACGCTACCACGACGTAATTTGCTATCTGGATTTGCTCTGTAGAGATACGTTCAATACACTTGTTATTTCATCAGCGTGCGATGGTCAAAACGTCAAGGCAATTGGAAGCACTTTTTAATGATGCAAATTCGTACTACAATAGACATACAAATTATTAGTTAAGTACCTTACACATTTTTGCATAGTTGTATCTGTGCCCTAGTTTTGATCAATACGGTAGAGAGCCGTTTTAACGTCCCATTAAAGAATGCTGTAGAACTCGAAGAACCTTTTGTATCTGATCTGATCATTGACATTTTGAAGTCTGCAGATTGTAGTAAAACAGTAAAGGATCTCGTATAGTGACAAATTCCAGGAACAGGCGCGGCTCGTCATTAAAGGCTGTAAGGCGGACTTTTTCTGTAGAAATCGCCCTCAATTCAAATTAAAAAAATATATTTACAAACGCATTGATTTATTTATAATGGATTTCCGAGCCATAATATGTAACAATAATTTCTCTATCTGTCCGATAACGGCCGCCCGTAACGTACTTGAAACTGTTGACGGAGAAGAGAAAAGCGTTAGGCTCCCACTTCATTCCGCCGCAAGGCCTGTGTACAACGCGGAGGCGTGACGTCATACATTCACTGCTCAGGCGGAGGGAAGCTGCGACCAAGCAGCCTTCAAGGGCCTGAAGAAGGGCGTGCTCACCAGATGGCATTGCTACGCAGCTCAGCGAGTAGCATTGAGCACCAACTACTTCTCTCAATATGCGGTAGGAGCATCGGAAGAGATTGTCTATTGAAACAATGCAATGCAATCCAATGCATATGTAGCCTCCCCCATTTAGAAAAACACGAGCCAAGACTACCCAAGAATGAGATGAAACTAGCTGTTGAAGTAAGTAAAATTTTTAGTTCAGTGGCTGAAATGGAGTTGGCACTTGAAAGTAAAGAACTACGCAGCGATTCAAGACAATTTTTCCAATTTTAACTTTAGAATGTTAACAATTTAGATTGTCAAAGATTTAAATTGTCAACAGTTTAGATTGTCAACGATTTAGATTGAAGGGTTGTTGATTTAGAGTGGTGACAGTAAGCTTGCAAACAAGTGTCAGGAACACGCATGAATGCGATTCGTTGTAATATTATTAACTTCAATTGAACTGGAAATCCCTTGGATAACCTTGCAGGATGCGTTATGTAAGGCGGACGGGTTGAATTCCAGACGGTCAGCGTAGCAAACTTTATAGGGGGAGTAAGGCTCACTTGGAAAGTGTCGGCCATGCATGAGACGGGCTTTAATAGCAGCTAAAGGGTCATCGAAATTCAAATTAGACACAGACAAGGACAAACATTTCATTGCATTACTGCCAGACTAGCATCCTTCTTTTATGGTTGTCATAGCGACTGCCTGCTTGGGCGGAGGCATGACAGTATCGCGTTAAGGAGCCAAATGGTTTAATGCAAAAATCATTGGTGGCAACACCTTTGCAAAATTAATATCTTCGGTTATTTCGACCTTTCATAGTTCATTTGTATTTTTTAGGATATAAGTTTTCTTTTAAAAAAATGTAAGTTCCTCTGAAACCATGTAGGAAACATGTATAATATTCTTTCAACTTTCCCCTGTGCTTTCTTACATTTAATCGTGATTTGTGACAGTTAATATAAATGGCAGTGTCAATGTTAAAGTTATTAAATATTTGCGTTATTTTAGAAGGCGTTACAGTCTTAGTTTCCCTTCGAGATGATGGTAAAATGACAAAAATTATGAACTCACCTGGTGGATTATGGTAAATTTCAGCCTCTGGAGTTATGTACAATAATTCCTTTTGCATAATTCCATATAATCCATTCCAGAAACTAATTACCTAAGTGTATCATAAAGTATTAACTTTGAATTTTACTTTGTATGTAACTGTAAATTTGTAATCTATTCACTCATACTCATACTCACACTCACCATAGAGATAAGGGCGATGTTTCTACACCCCAAATTCGGAAAGGATTTTCCCATGATTCCTTTGCTGTAAGAATAAAGTAGTGTTTAATATGCTTATAAAAATAATAAAATAGATAATATCTGTTAGAAAATGCACAACTTTAAATGAACTCTACATTTTTGATTGGAACAGAGTATTTTAACAAATCAGATAGTGTTTTGTACCCAGATATGAAGATATGGCAAATGTAATTCGATGGTCTAGTTTTTCTATTTTAAAGATGTTTAAAAATCTTATTTGACAATAAACATGTTCTTGTTGCATTCCACATCTACTTGAAATAGAGTACGTAATAGCGAGATCAAAATTGATTCTAAGTAGAAATCTTTATGGATTATAGAAGAAAAGTATATAGAACTGGAACGTATTTTTTAGACATTCTAATATGCACAATAGTCATAATTCGTTCAATAGAAAATTTGTGTGTATGATTATGAATCATTCATAACAACAATCAATAAATAATACATCTAAACCTGCGTTCTGTATATTATGTTTACATCAAAGCGAACAAAACCCAAATTAGAATTAAATAAGAATTTTGTAAATCCATTAATATACCAATATATTTTAACCTTGTCTATATTAAAATTTCCAATGCGCGTAGAAATTGAAAGAAATCTTTGCAGCATCCAACGATGTGGTTATTTGGTAGGTTATTTTGTTTGATACCCAGGAACTCGAAAGATATTCCGAAACCATGAAACAGTCTCGATTTTGACTGAAAAATGCAAATATTTGATGGCACTTATTTTCATACTGCGCGTTCCTACTGGACTCTCGAACTCCCTGCTTACAACATGGGACAGCAAGAAAAAGGCCGTCCGCCATCAAATATTTGCAATTCACGGGTTGGGTTATGAAAAAATTGTTTTAATAGAGTTGGTGTGTAAGGAAGGGCTGAACTGTATTGTTACCATGTTATTGCAGTATTTGAAAACAATGTTTTTATTAAAATATTTAATTTATGGCCGTGTTATACGAAAGTGTTTCTTTTTAATCTGGATCAGAGTGCGTTATATTTTTTGGAAAAAAAAAGTTGTATGGTTTGGTCAGCAGCAGTTTTACTGATTAAGACCACTAGTTTTTTAAATTTTTTTGTTGCATTTTTGCGACGCCTCTCTAAGCCTTTCTCCGGCATTGTGCGTCTGGAGTAATCCTTCTTTGTCTTTTCGTCTCGTCACGTTAGTCTGTCAGAACCTTTTATCCCTTCGGCCAGCTCCACGAACTCGGTGCCATTATTAACGGAGATTTCCAGACGGTCACGCACTTAGAAATTCGTGGTGTCTTGAATTAATTAACTTCTATAACTTCACGGAACGTATTTAAGCAATTCGGCTAAAGACGCCAGCTTTAGTTGTAACTAATGTCTTCATATGTTTTGGTTCACAGAAATTAAAATATGAACTCAAATTATGCCCTAACCAGTATTTGTAAACCCTTTTTCATGTGTCTTGAAAAATGAGAATGATGATGGACACGTTTCTGTCTCTTTTCACACATTTGTGTCTTTCTTCATACATTTTTTCAGACGTGACAGAAAAGGGACAAATTTGCCAATGCACTTTCAATGTCAAATATTAATTTCAGGTTAAATGTTATCAGTCTAACATTAAGCAATGATTTCTTTCCAGGCTCGATTCTGGCGCAAGACCCGTTCTCAGACGCCCAATACCACCTGCATTGGCACTGATGCGAATCGGAACTTCAACTTTCAATGGGATCGTAAGTGAACCGGTTGTGACGTGGTCTCTGTCCACGATCATTTTAAAATATAGACACTCGTGGTTTTATTAGTACGGTCTTAAATTCTCAGTTCAGATGATAGCATTTAAATGACTTATTAGTTATCTTTGCTTTTGATTCGAGTCACTCACGTATTTCAAAGCTAACATGAAGGGAGGTACAACCATGGTTATTGCATTTTCTATAAAACGTAGAAAAGTATTGTAGATGAAGTTTGAGAAATAATTGAAATACGGCGATATTCCGGTAGAATTGGCATTTTCAGGTACTACATCTATTTTTAATTTCATAAATTTTTCTTTAACTTTTCGAACGCATTATGTTTGGAGTCCTTTACTTTATGCAACTAAGCATTGAATTTCAATAGCTGTGAAATGTAGGAATACTATAACAAAATACCGAATATTTCGAGAATTTATTCTTCAAGTTCTTCTCAATTTATTAAGAATGTTTACCACAGAATCATGAAAGACTTCACTTAAATTTTGGTTCAAATTCTTGAATGAAATGATATATTTTTAAAACTTGTATTCATTTACATTATTACAATATTTGTCGTTGATCTTACCAATTACACTATTGGTGACACGTGTATTTAGTAGCGTTGTTTTCATGGTACGCAGTGACTGAATCTTCTGAAATACTCTTACACCCTAATTAATAACTAGGAGAAATAATTTTGATATCGGCGAATAGCCAACTCGAATATTTGATAAGTGGCGAATAGCCAACTCGTGGCTCAAAGCGATAGTGTCTTGCCTTTCACCAAGGAAGTGAGAGTTCGATTCCCGGACAATATCATGTGAAATGTGTACCGACAAAACGAGCTTTTCTGTTTGTCCAACTACAATGAAGTGCCCTAAATCCTACCAATGTTCTAATTCCTGTCCAATTCAAAAAACCAAGGCTGCTTAGAATATCCTTTTAGGGGAATCGCACGCGATCAATTAGTTGCTACTTCTTCTAATTGGCGAATAATATTCATTCAGTGAACACGGGCGGAGTTTGTTCGGAGACATTTGCCGGAGTGGCGCCGCTGTCGGAACCTGAGGCTGCAGCGCTCGCCGCCTATCTGCTGGAGCGCAACGACTCCATCCAGCTATATCTCACCCTGCACAGCTACGGGGAGGTGAGTTGGTCGAGTAATACTTTTCTACAGTTGTTCACAGCAACGTCCCATTTTGCTTCTGATGAAGGATGGGATATTGGTTGCTAGTGCGTTTTATTTGTATTCAATTAATAATTCAAGTTGAAAAATTCTGAATTTCACGCAACATGATATTCGCGCTTCCTGTTCAAAAGAATTATTTCTCTTTTCAAGACTCTACCTTTTTAATTATAATTCAAATTCAAATGTGTTAATAACTCTATAGATTCATTACTTTTCTAATTTGATTTTTCAATTTAATTTAATTTAATTTAACATGATCTTCAATTTTTTACCAATAGCATCGACATCTGACTATCTTTTAAATAATAAAAATGATGATAAAGATGAACTTGCATTATTGACTAATTTTCCACGTTTTATATGCTTCTATCAAAAATATGTTTGGTAAAATTAGTTCTCCGCCTTATGATTGAATCATTAGGCTTTTAAATGAAGTTCAAAATTGAAATGAATAGATATAAAATATATTTAAAAATAGTATGTATACATTAAGTATTATACCGTAATATAAATAATGTCATTGAGGTATAAGGTTAGAATTATCTATTATTTAAAATATTTGAATTACGCTTTTGATATGCAATTAAAATGTAGGGTCATAAGATTGAAGGTAGCATCTCTCATTTCCTTATTTTAATTTATTTCGATTATTTATACATTCCGAACGTTAGGTGGTTCTGATAGACAATGTTTTAATATATAATTAAATTAACGTAAATTGTCTATTGGAGTGAATGTCAAAATGTCGAAAATGTTTCATTATATATGCATATATGTATTACAGCTTCTTCTAACTCCGTGGGGCTACACAAATGATATGCCAGAGGACGCAGATGATTTGGTAAGTACCATATTCTTATTTCGTGATAAAATATTTTTAAATTAATTTTTGAAATTGATATGAATTAGGGCATTCTCAATGTTCGTTCATTTTTTTTAATCTTTAAGAACCACTTGACAAAAAGTCAATGTAGATGTTCGGTTGAAAATCTTGATATAAACATTGAATTAAAAGTATCAAATCATTGTCAGATTTTCAATAAATTAAATTTTGTTTGTTTTTCTGGGAACATTTAGAAGGAAAATATAAGAAACGTATTGTAACGTTTCTTAGTGATAAATTAAAATAGATATTTATTTTTACAAAATTGTTTATTTTTCTTAATCTTAAACTAAAAATACTGATTTATGTATACTGATAGTCTTCTTTATTTACATCACAGATGTCGAGTTATTCACTTGATTCGTCTTCTATATTTATATTTCAGTTCTTGACTTATTCACTTGGTTATTTCTTTTCGTACAGCTCAATTATGTTGATTTTTTTATTTTCACACGGGTCACTTCCTTTGCATTGCTACACTGGCTTCTACACTGTTCACCGAGATGCACAACACATTTCACAGTACACTTCGGCGGTCGCCGAGGCCGCTGCATTTACAGCTGACAGGCGCCGAGCCTGGACGTCTCCGGAACTTGCATCACTCTGCTATGCGACCCGCCTACACCCCGGAACAGTCCGATTCAGGAGCCGCCGACAGCTGTTGCGTTATATGTGTTTTGGTTTCGTTGTTGGCTGATAATAAACGCATCCTTCTTAATCAATTGGTTCCTTAGATTATGGCTTTGACAAAAAATTAGAACGCGTGTTTCTCGTCTGTTTCAGAAACCAGTATTTAAATTTATGCATCCTGTGTTACTAAAGTTAAAAGTACTGATGATATTTATTAATAAAATAAATGTATGGCCTTTTACATTTTTTGTCAAAAATTTGTCTGATTTATCTCCAACAAAATTTGCTTCTTTGTTTCACCACCTCGGATACTGAGAAGGTCTGTTAATAGAAAACGTACAAGCTTAATGTTCGAACATCGTATAATTGTCTTTATGTATTACAAATATTGCTAGTCACTGAAATCGAAAAAACACTCCATCCACAGATACTTATAGTGGATAGATTTTCAATGTCTATGCTGGGTATAGCAGTGAAGCCGGAAAATTGAGCGTGTCGCTGTCTTACTACTTGAGGTGTTGTACACAAGTGTAAGACAGATGAAATGTATTCTCATACTTCTTTCAGATTTACGAATAATAGTAATCCTAAGAAGGTAAACCACTGCAAGACACAGGGGTGTTAAATTAAACATTTCAAGCGTTCTTGAGCGCATGTCACTTGAAATACTTTTCTGCATTCGTAAGAATTGCACTTCCAGTACCTCAATAGTATTCTATATAATTCCAGATATATTACACACTTCTGTGAGGCGTGAAAAACATCCTCGAGTTGATTGGAGCCAACTTAATTAGTTCAAATATTAAACCGTTGAATGAACAAGGTTATACATTCTAGGTTCTCTAACGGTTGATGGTATGCAGGAACATTAGTAAGGCAAATTCCTTAGAAACAAAATTTAAAAGAAAAAAAAAGTGGAATTAAAAATTTACTGTTTCCCATGTTTGTAGGGTGAAAGAATAAAAAATAATATACTCATGCCTGCTTGTCACATGATTAAAGTAGTTCTTATTTTCCTTGAAGATAAAACATCATTTCAAGTAATTATTACAGAATTATATCAATTAACATTATTTTTATTTTGAAAAATAAGGATTGCGGTTGGCAAACAAATTCAATTCAACAACAAATATATTGTAAGAACTAGGAGACTATTGGCAAGTCTTTACAAGAAAGTGAATTCAAAAGTTGTGCGCGTCACCATCTTATCTTCTGCCGGTTGGCTTCACGTGAACGGGCAGCACTGTCAATCTCGTTTTGTTGATCTGCGGCTCCATCATATCATGCTCGTTCATTATAAATAATTCAGTAATATAGTTCATAATAATTTCAGTAAGATACATCTCTCATTTTTCAGATCGAATCTATATGATCCGTGGATGTAATTTAAAAAACCCGGCTGGAACAAAATGTTGAGCCCATACTGTTACAGTGTTTTCTGTTTTTAGGTGGGACTGGCGAACAAAGCGGCCGCCGCAGTGGCGGCTGTGCGAGGCACCAACTACACAGTGGGTAGCTCCGCCAACGTGCTCTGTAAGTATTCATCTGACTGGCTTTGGAATCACTGGGTTTGGTGTCTGGGGGACACATATTATGATTGTTAGACGAATATGAATTCATTGTGATAATGAGCGAGAAAAGTGATGTTGTAATACTGTATTTCATGCTTCAATCAAACAGTCGTGTTAAAATTAAAAAGAGATTGATTCAATAGTCACTATTGATTTAAAAATACAACGCCAAATATTATTATTCGGCCGGGGCTTTCATTTATGACTCAATGGTCTTCTTCTGCCAGAAATTAATTTGTAAAGGATTTTTGCACATTATATCATAACCATGTATGAGAATACTGTTCTAATGTGACTTGTGTCATGTTTCTTATGTGAATCACGTGTTCAAATTGAACACCTTTAATTCATCTTTGGTTCGTGAGCTTTATAGAGGCATCGAAATAAGTAATCATTGAAACACATTTTCCATTTTATTAAAGTTCATTTTAGCAGCCTTGTATTTTCAACTGAATTGAATTGATGCCTTATTTTACGTAGCGAGACTTGGGCCATTAGGCTTGCTCTTCCGTCAGACCACGCAGATTTCGCTATGCTCATTTCTCTAACTAGAAGAGAAAATGGCTATAACTCGGGCGACGAAAATGGGCATTTGAATTTAGCCCAGAGTATTCATTTAGACTTGAGGATCCAGTAAATTTACTAACATGTGACAGCCGGATTTACCTCCCCTCCGAAGGAAGGAATACGAAGGATTTTTTTCGTCTTTAAAAATCCACGCCTTCGATAGGGTTAGAACGTGGGTATAACAGTCCGTGGGTATAACCATCGCCGGCGCATAAAGATTATTTCATCTTAATCGCTCTACTAAGAAACCAACTTCATTGACAGCCATCAGCTAGTATTTTCACTGGAATGGATTTAGCAATTTTGTTGATTTTAGGTTAAAATGTTCACTTTTGTATGCCCAGTGATTTAATAATTAACCTGTCAAATGTCCAACGAGAGAAATGTCCAGAAACAAACTAGTCAAAAAAAAATCTTAAAGTGTCAAAATGTCAAATTTTATCTGTGCTTATGCAAATTACAAGATACATACACATTGTGAAATAATAAAATAGTTACTTTGTAATGTAGTTTAGCATTATAGTGTGACATACAGAAAAGTTTCTTCAATTATTCACTTCAGATGAAATAATTAAAAAAAGATACGTTAGTTTCTTATTTGTTAACAAACAAACTTGAAGAATCTGACTCGGTTGCGTACGGTCAATGAAAGGAGCAAGCGTTAAGGTAAGGAATAGAGTTGCAACCTCCAATCATTGTAATGGATTTCGAAATTGCATTCATGAATGCATTCCCAACACTACTCTCTTCCCGCAAGTATTAAAGGCTGTACTTGCAATTTTACACAATAGATACACAGGAAAATCATTAGTCTTGGTTTACGTGAATTATACATCAAAATTCGTCGTCAGAAACCTCACATACACCAAATTCAAGAACTTATCTCCTTCCCATTTATGGTGCCTGTGGAAGATTTTGAAGATTCATTCGATATATACTATATCATCGAAGAAGATGTAATTAAAGTGACAGATTATACAAATTACATGTGTGAGAGGTAGAAGTCTTAAAGGACGCAAAAGAGCTTTACCCCATACATTTGGAACATGTAATACCTGCTTACATTTCATGATCATTACAATGAATAACGTAGTGGAAGCTTTTTATGGTAATTTCCAGTAATGGTTGCTGCTCACCTTGTTAGCATCTGGAGTTTTCTGCAGAATGTAGAAAATGAACACCACCATAAAGAAAGTACTATAAATAAAAGAAAGTCCTATAAATAAAATAAATGTATTACCAACCAAACAAAAATATAAAAAATTGGGCGGACGTAAAACAATGTAAAAAATCGAAGTAATACATGACCAAATCTATCTGCGGGGTATATCACATCATATAAAACTCCGGTTTCATCCAGAAGAAAGGGTTATAGTGGGATAATCTGAATAAACGTTTACGTTTTTTCATTTTTTCGTAAGCGGATATTTTGCACTGGACCGGCGGACATTACCTCCAACCATTTTGTTGTGTGCTTCGACGAGCTTTAACCATTAGTCTGGAATTACTCGAAAATCTCTCGTGAATAAAAATGAGGATTGTCCTAGGAAATAAACACATCCTCATTACGACTATTTTTGACCTTATAACATCTCCTCGGGTGATAAATACAGTAAGAGTGCTCAGGCCTTCCGTTAATTAATAGGTAGTGGTAGCCCAGGATAGCGTAAAGATGTTTCACACTAACACCAATAGAAAAACTATAGTATATCCAATTTATAATTGTTTATTGAAGATAAATTTCCATCTCTTAACACCCAAATGAAGTTACCCGCGTTGCCCAAGTATTCAATACAACGTGTATTAGACAGCAAAAGGAGTTCCATCTATTCCCGTATTGTTCTGCCTATTTCTATGTATTCTAGTGCATTCCTGCTCCGTTGTACTTGGCCTCACCGCTGTACTCTCTCCTGTTCTTGGCTTTGCAGCCCGACATGGGCCTTGGCCGACCAGCGGTGGCCCAGCCCCGCGGCCATGTGATTACGGCAGACATACATACACAGTATATTACTGGACTTCTTGATCTTGAATAAATAATTAAAAAACCTGAACTAAAAAGATACAATAGCTTTATATACGTTTAAGCGTTTTGTGGAGTTGTTTATATACTACCATTAAAACGAAGCAAGTTTCCTGAAAATTCTCCAATCTGTACAGTTTTAGCATCAACATATATAATTAATAATGCTTCGCGTAGTAATTTTTCGACAATTAATTTTTATACTTCTACTAAATGTCTCAGGATTCAGTTCACATGTCAGGAGTCCTCAGTCCACTTGTTTTATATTTGAATTTTAACAATAACCAGACTAGCGAAGATAGCCTTCGTAGACAACACAAAACCAATTTTATTTTGGAAAAACAGTGCATATGGCGGTAACGTTTTGAATTGAATATACGATATTTTTGAATCTTGCTTCTTAATCTTGGCGCTATATGGTAGCAATGAGCCCAATGGTATATTTTTTGTTACATGTGATTGCATTATACTACAATAGATTATATATTAGGTTACAATAATGTATTTTGAAGAATTTATACCCAGAATAGTTGACGTTTTGTGTTTGTCTTTGCAATCGGCAACGCCATCTTCATAAATATGATACTCCTGTAATTTAGTTCATCCTTTGACTAATGAGTTCAATGTCTAAATAGCAGGTTGGCCAGCAAACCGAACGTGCTCTTTCTAAAGATTTATCTGCGTATCAGAATCATTCATTGTGAAATCAATGAACATTACAAACCGAGTATCATGACATTATCTTCCTAATTGATTGAATCTGAACCTCGTATATCCCGTGAGCCCCCATTATGATTCCATATTCTTGATACGATTAGCTATACAAATTAGTTTTAAAACATTTTTGACTGATTTCTTATTTACGTTTAACAATGGAAACTTCAATTTTGGGTAAAAATATTCACTTTTGCATGTTATGTTGCAGTGGCAAAGTAGCTAAACACCTGAATTGATCCTTTTGCGCGGCAATGCATGAAAATCTTTCTTAGATTTCCCGCACATTGATGTAATTTATTATTTTAAAATATAATAAATTATTTATAAATTCATATTTTTTGTAATGAGTTCGGAGTTTTCTCTCTGCCTCTCTTTCTGTCATTAATGTACGTTAGGGATGAAGTACTAATTGTTACAATTGCCTTATTAGCCATCTAATATTCAAATAATTCAAAAATGGGGAGTAAGTCTGAAGTAGGAACGGCTTCCTAGCATTCTTTGAAATTAAGCCGGATGAAGTTGTCTTTAACCAACGGACGAATTGGCCGTCTTTAGTGAAACACATTATGGTGATGGAGAATATCAAAAAATAAGTTGTAAACCGGTCAGATGGGAAGTTTCCTTGGTTGAAAAGAAACAGGATGTGTAGCTTAGAGTCCCTCCAAGTGTGTCGTACATTTATATGTACACCATTCCACCAATCCCAAACACACTATAACTTCGCTGCGAATTTTCGAGTTAGGAGAGAAGGCTCGAGCCTTCGGCCTTCTCGATTAACATAAAACATCTTTGAGGCTATGCTACCGGAAGGATTCTTTCAAACGCACTTTTATGCCAAAATGCTTCTTGCGAACAAACAAGGCGCCTTATACTCAGACCATAACTTCAGCTCGCGCCTTGTGGTCGACACCATTGTTAGTCGAATGAAGTTCGAAATGAAACGTTCAAAGATAGCTTTATCCACATCGACCGGGTAATGTGCGATTTAATAGGAGACGTCTGACTCCTCATATTCCGACCTTCATGTATGACCCGACGTACAAACACACAAATGAAGACCTTGTTCCGCATAACATACCTTATTAAAATACACACACACACATATCCTACTACTCATGAAGGTCTCTCCTCTGGTTTTAAGGCTAATGTGTTCCAACTGTACATTCACGATAAACACTGTTTTAATGGACTAAAATAAATCAGCATAAACAGCTAATCGTCGAGGCGAGTAAGCAGCATCGAAATCAAAAGCATCAAAATTCCAATGTAAGTTACTGCCAAGAAACGAATTGTATTTGTTACTGCCCAGACTATCACAATGTTCAAATGATGGAGTTTTCATCCTATTTTCTCCGAAAAACAAACAAACACGACACTCTCTGATTTTCAAGTTCATTTCAATACTTTGAAAGTTTTATTGTTCTTGTCTGTGATAATAAAAAATGGTGGAACAATCCAGAAAATGACAATGTGTTATCGTAAAAATAATGATAAATAAAAAGTAATGAATGATATGTAATGAAAAAGAAAGTAAGTGCATTGAAAAAGGGTCACATTTTCCTGAAATTTTCAAGAAAGTAAAATCAACATTGACCGTCGTTGTGTCAATATCAGGACAAATAGAACCGAAAATTAACGAGAGTATAAGATATTTTTAATTTGTTTAATCTATCTGTTGAATTTTATTTTTTTAGAAGTACACTTTTGATTTCATGCATCAAGATTTCTATCTGTGGTGGATATTTTATTTCGAAGAGATATAGTAAAATTTGGGACGATTTCATTCATTTTTTTCTACTCATTAAAATGGCTTTAAATTTAAGATATTTCTATAGTGTTAATTGGAATTCATGTGTGATTTCTGGAGGTGTTTGAAGTTGGTTGATGAGAATTCCAGAAATATATAAGAAAGAACGTCGTTTAATGAAACAAATTTCATAAAAAATAAGTCTCAGGAGAGCAGAAACCTATCATCCCGAAAATCGTTTATTATGTCAAACGTATAATTAAAACGGTTAAATGTACATTTTTAATACACATCTTTTCATTTACACAAGGAGCTGTTATCAGATTTCTTTCAAAAATAAATTTAGATATACTAGATGTTCCTGAGACGCGGAATTCTTTACAAGTCATTGAAAACAATTCAATGATTCTTGTATATTGACATTTATTTTTTTCCGAATGTGGATGTTATTAACAACACTAACCTTTTTAAAGGGAAATATTATCAGATCTTATCGATCATATGGAGTATTGTTTACCTAGTTATTTATGTACAATATACTGTGCCTCTGTATCTTGGGTCGACCTCGTTGTTATCTCCTTGGCGCACACCTGATTTCGTCATACCTTCGAGATAAGGTACACTACCGGTTGTGCAAGAGCTTTAATGAGAGGTACCATGTTTTAGATTCAATCTTGAAGTTTTGCTTTGGATTAAAAACTTCAGTTGCAGTACATGGCTGAAGAAATCAGGCTCATTGAAGAAAACCTGTTCTGAATTTAGTGCCTTTCCTTTCGAAATGATTGTTAGAGATGTAAACTTTACCGGAACAGAAATATTTACATTTTGCAACTTTGACTCAAAATCACGTTGTTTCCGTTTTTATGGAGGCAATTTGTAGGCCGGAATCACCAGCAGCGGAATGGTCAGGGACCTAGCTTTTATAGTTTGGGGACCAGGATTAAAATAAGAGCGTTCGATGCGGAATTTGTGATGAAGAAGGCGGTTCCCGCCTGCTTTCCTCGGGGTCTCAAGTTTCCTATGTTTGTCATTGCACCTCTGGTCCTTTATTATTGTTACTATCCTTATTATTCGTATCTTAATTATCTACCATTAAATTACATATTAATTTGATTTACTTCTGAGGCGTAGGTAATGGAATTATAATAAATAATAGGGCAGGCCAAAGTATGGTTATTTTTCGAATGACACAAATAAATAAATAAAAATATTTGCAATGTCAGTCGATTTATGCAACAATGTTACCAACCAAATGAACGTGGAAACAGTATTGAACTAGCCACGAAAGTCGTTCTTTCGGATGTAAATTTCTTCACAAAATCGCAAATTGATACGTAAACGAAGGTGACCATGTGAGAAGTAAGAAGTACTAGTGCCTTCTTACTATGTATCAGTGCATAAAGAGGCGAAATGTAGAACATGAGCATTTTTATTTCCCAGTTTTGGATTAAACTTCTTACTTTTACTAACATTTATTAGTCTACTCTCTGCTACAATCTTTAAAACAATATTCATGTTCATCTCTCTCCTTTTAAATGATGATTAATAGTATACGATTGTAGAAATCAGAACCATTGATGCATAATAAAATTAGTTCACGGGATTGGTCAGTATGGCTAAAGAAACAGTTAGTTATGTCAACGTTTCGAAATATTTAATTTCGTGAAGGTTAGAGTATAAAGACAAATCAATAATGCATGAAGAGAACAAACAAATTTGAATAAATTAATTCACTAGTTAATTCAGAGTTCATAAACAACAAAACATAACCAAATAAAATACCAAATAAAATAAAACACCAAAATATGGAAGGAACACCTTAATGTGTATTAGTGAGGTGTGTACCTTCTATATTTTGGTGTTTTATTTGTATCAGTATATAAAAGTTTTTGTTATTTGTATAGTGTTAATTAATGGTATGGATGTTAGGAAATTAAATAATTCAAAAGCATAATCTGATTGTCGTCAGAAAAAAGTAAAAAAAATGACTCGGGGACGGGAGATGGGGAGAAATAAAAATCGCCGCACGGTTTCCAAGATAAATTTCATGAGACTTTAAACAATTTATCCATCTATGTTATATTTATACTTTTCTCTACGACGGGGCGCCGCCTATGGAATGGCGCTCATTTTCTGTTATTATTATAAACTTCGTAATGAAACGTAGTTCCTATCGATTCATAATTACCTTTTATCCGGGAATATAAGAGGAAATTAATTGCGTATTTATACAAAATTGCATACATTTATTATAATTATTGATTTTAACAGATTAATTTATTTTTATCAATTTTTTTAGTTGAACAATTATTATAAACTTTACCTGTAACATTTTTATAATGCTTAATGCTTACTCAAAACCAATTAAACAATTAAAAGCTCGAAAACAAATCGATTATAGGCGAAAAAAGATATTCAGTATATAGCTATTAAATATAAAATGATTTATGTTTGACATAAGATCACAATGAAGCGATACTCGTCTCATTATGATATCCATATCAAACTTGCTTTATTAATAATCAAAAACGGATTCAACCGACCATTTTAATGATTGCTTTTGAACGGTATTGAGACCAAGTTCCTCTCCTGGCAGATTACTCATACGGGACGAGCCGCGACTGGGCCAAGGGAGTGGCTGGCATCAAATACTCGTACACGATGGAGCTGCCAGCGGGCGGGTCTGGGTTCGACCCCCCGCCAGAGGACATCGCGCCCGTGGTGACGGAGACCTTCGAGGCCATCAAGGTGTTCGCGGAGGCCGTCGCTGCCAGCGGCCGCTCCTAGCCGACCTCCGGCCGCCCCTGCGCGCGGGCCCTCGGGTCACTTGAATTGAATTTCGAAATTTTAAAATTGTACAAGACTTGTAGGACCATATATTTCCGTTCTAATAAATACTTTCCAAATGTTTGCAGAAATAATTTGTTTTCGTTTGCCTGTGAATAATACCACTGCATATTACGAACTATGTAAATAACTTGCACGGAATCTTTCTTTCCGTGCCCTTCGTCGATATACTTTGAATTATCAGAAGATTTGTGAAGACAATGAATGATTCTGATTTAAATGGTTGTTTAATAAAACATTATTTTGTGAAATGTATGAAAAATTGTTTTTTATTATACAATAAATTATATAAACAGTATGTTCCATCCTGTTTGTTTTTCTTCTAGAATTTGATCCGGGATTTTTCTAAACAATTTCAAAGTTCTCTCTTATTTGGGGGACTAAACAAATTTTATGATATTTTCTGGTAAAGTATTGCATATAGACTTCCTGATTTTTTTTTCTCGTATACGCCATCTCGGACCACGCGTGCATCCTGCTTCAGCAGGGGCAAGACCTTTCTGGGGGGGGGGGGGTCAGCATTTTAGCAAAATCCCTATTTTTCTCACAAGGTTGTTAGCCCTGGGGGTATGGATGACGAGATGATGGTGAAGGATTAAAGGTTGGCACACACATTATAGACATGCACAAATACACTTATGCTCGAGCCGGGACTTGCTGTCTTCTGGTCCGAGACCGCTATGGCACTTCTGCCCTAATGATCGAAGCCATTTACGGCTACACTTTCTGATATTAAATGTAACTGAAAAGAAAAAAAAATCAATTTTTTGATGACGTTAATAAAATCATTAATATAATTAGAATTACAATGTATTCTATTAGAAATAGAAAATGCTGAACTGTGTTGCTGTTTTGACGCATTAAATATCCTGAAGAAATGGGAAATAAGTTATGATTTACAGATAAGTGTAATGACACCTTTAATCATGAGTAATGATAATAGCATGGATATAAGAACAAAGATCACCATGTTTAGAGCAAGAAAAGGAACAAAGAAATGAAATGTTAAATAGTATAAGATTCTACAAGTTTTATTAGTCATTAATAGATTCTGAATTTCTAAGCATTTTAATTTAAGCTCTGCCTTCATCGAGGAGACAACAATCCCTTGCTCGCAATGAGCCTGATGGTCTAGTATTTCCCTCGTCTTTTCTGTATTTCGCATATGGAGATACATTGTTAACTTTGTTTTCAATGAAATTTGAATTACAAATGAATAAGCACGGACATTGTCAAATATTGTTGCACACGAATTTTAGGTTAGAGGTTACTAAATCAACTTTAAAACATCAATGTTTAAAATTATCGGTGGTTTTTGATCGATGTATTTTTAACATTGATGTTTTGATTTTGAAGTGTTTTTGAAGTGAAGTTTGAAAAAAGTCCCGTCAAAATTAGTTCAGTCGTTCTCGAGATTATCTCTGTCAAAGCTGTCAGATAGAGAGACACGTCAGAAATTTCTGCGCCCATTGCAAATAAGTAACTTATTTTTAGTTTTCCCTAGTTCCTCGGTATCTGACAAACTCATAGACATCTGTCAAAAAGGTCGGATGCTCCATACCTTTCTTTTAATTTTTTGCGTATATTGGAAATTAGTAATGTATTCACATATTAATTCCACTTGAATTTGCGATATTGCCTAGACAAGTCTTGCTTTTTAATTATTTTCTGTTTATTTATTAATGCCCCTGTTGGCACCATCGCACAATTCTTGTCCAAAGTTCTTTTTCTGAGGATTTTGATCTTTCTGTAGTTGATATTGGCGGAAAATCTCCAAAGTTAAAGTGTCGTTAATTTTGTTTTCTAAAAATTTGTATCAGCAACTATCAGCAACGTTATTAAGGAACAACACAAGTGTTCTGATATGACTCGGCTATTTGAAAGCAAACCAATACTACAGGGGACGTTCGCCATTTATGGCCAGTAGGTACAAAGTTCAAGCTGTGCGAACGTGATGCAGCTGAAAAGGGAATTTTGCCAGTAGCTGAAATCTCTTCGCGTCAATCACAAGCCACTTTTGTTTTAAGGATCACCCAACGAAAAATGCCTCTCATCGCAGCAGAGTACCTCGATCTCTGCCGGACTCAGTTGGGCGTTCTTCACGCCCACGCCGGCTATCGCGTTATCGTTTGCTGCTTCTTATCTACTCGACACCTGAGAGATAGAGTGGAACGGGTGGATGGATGACGAGTGTGATTCGAAGGCCATTTTCGAAAACGAGCGGACAACGAAACAGGGGAATACGATGGCGGAGGAGGCGGCGATAGAGATGGTGGAGATGGCAGAGAAGATAGCGTTGGAAATACTGATGGAGGAAGCGGCGATGAAGACGGTGTTAGCAATGGTGGTGGTGGTGGTGGTGGTGGTGGTGGTGGTGGTGGTGGAGGGAGAGCGGGGTGGTGGGCGGGTTGAAATGGTGGAGATGGTAGAGGTGTTAGGAGATGGCAGGGAGATAGCGTTTGGAAATATTGTGGACGAAGCGACGATGAAGGAACGGTATTAACAATGGTGGTGGTGGTGGCGGTGGGAGGGGGTGATGGTGGTGGTGAGGGGGGAGGCGGTGGTGAGATGGTAGAAATGGTGGCGGTGACAGAGGTGGTGACGGTGGCGGAGATGGCAGAGTAGATAGCGTTGGAAATGCTGCCGGAGGAAGCGGGGGAGACTACGATGAAGACGACGTTGGCAATGGTGGGGGTGGCGGCGGCGACTGATACGACCGCTGGTTGCTCGGCTGCCGCACAGTCGACTGTCTCCGCAGCGTCTGGCAGCACGCGCTCTTGCAGAGATGGGGCGCCGCGCAGTGCTCTTGCTGCTGCTATCAGCGCTCCTGGCGGCGGTCACGGGAAACAATGACGTCCACCACGAGGGGTTCAACACTTACGATGGGTGAGTGTCATTGAAGTTTTGTGCAGAACCGCATTATTATTTTGTAATGCCTGCGGTGAGATTATATAACATGACTTCTAACGGCCCCGATTATTGCAATTTAAATTTATCGAAAGCCGATATTTTAGTTTTTGAGGAGAGGGTACCATGAATACCGCCCTTGTTATATTTTCAACTACTGATATCCTTTTCTAGAAAATGGTTGAATAGAAAATTTTGATATTTCACACACATAAAGATAAAACCTTTGGTATTACTTTGACATTTTTTTGAGTTGATTAAAAAAAATAGTATTTTTTCAATTATAACTTTTGCTCTAATTTTTTGAGCATTTTGGACAATTAATATTTTTTGTTATTAAAGAATGTATGTATAAAAATGTCAATTTATTGTCAATACTATAAAGAATAAATTCTTAAAGTTTCAATAAATTGTGAATCATGGATGAATGAGTCACTAATCGTTGGGAAAATTACTGTAAATTAGTAGAACGAGTAGTTTGGAATATCGCATGTGCTTGGAAGACGGAAGGACCTTTGGCATCGCCAAGATGTAATGGTGTCGCTGTAACTTAAGGGAAGTAATTGAAAATGTGATGTATAAATAACAAGTCTTGTTACCACAATCATTACATGTTTTAAAGCTGGACATTTTCAAAATTAACATGTATATAAATAACATTCACAAAATACATTAGGACTTAATGTGCTAAATGTATTCGTATTAAAATACTTCAAACACTTAAACTACTGTAAATATTTAATAATTTTGTATTATATTTTTTTATTCCAACAATATATTGTAATTGTCAATTACAGTAAATTAGTAATAGACAGTCATACACATTTCTGAACAATAACTGTTGTAATATATTTGAACAATGTGTATAAACGTTTCTAAATATAATATGATATGAACAATGTCTAACAAAAAGAAATGAAATTTCCTTTCAAAACGACTAATTTTTCAAACAAATCGTCAGACAATTAACCCCTATTTGGCGAATGTACAAAACTTACAAAGGAAAAGGATCATTTAACTGGTGTGGATGAACATAAACTAGTGTTATAAGGAATTAACCCCTTTTTTGCCTCACAATTGACCAGCATTTTATCATTTAAAAATGAAGAGAATCCAAACTTAACAAACAGCCGAAAGCAGCTTTTATTTTTGTTTCATTGAGTTGCTTTCTCTAGCAGAATCAAACAAAAAGAATCTATTCTCGTTCTCAACTGACTGACTTTGACTACTTTGGCTTACTATGACTTTATTTTGAAATCTACCTTTAAGGAACAGGTTTTATTAAAGGAAAATCTTTATTTTTAATATTTTAGTTGTAGGAAGACGCCAAAAAAATTGAGGTTTCGCAATTTTCGAAAAATTAGAGTTTGGAACAAAAATGAGACTCACACAATTCTCTTAAACGTCCATTACACAATCCAACAAAAAAATAATTAAAAACGATAGAGATATTTGTTTGAAAGTTTTCATAATGTCCTAGAGGCTTCATGTGAAGTCCCCCCAAAATTAAAATATCGGTTTCAAATTCAAGTGGCCACGACATCAGCCAGATCGGTTAACGAATAACAATTTTGGTGGAAATCGGCTGAACGATTTAGCCGCTAGCGTTGTTTACACACAAACGGACATTAATAATTTTAGTCATTACTTTCTTTGTAATATTGCTCGTATGTCTGCGTAATCTGCTCGTATGTTTCATTTCTGTTGTCTTTATTACTAAGAAACACTGTACTCTAAAACCCGCATACTGTGTGTACTGTTGAAGGTATTGAGACACTATTTCCAGTAAACTTATGTTCTGATGTCAAGTAGAGCTTCTGCCTTTTCTTATTATGTCCCGTACTTTGGTCGCTATCACCGTATAGGGTAACTGGACATTTTCCTAGCAGCAGTAAAATTCTTCGGATGGGCTGGCGGATCTGTGAATTGATTGATAAATTCAATGTGCAAGAATTATAATTATCTACCATTGTAGTTTAATTCGAAATTTAATCTATTACTGTCGGAGTTTACACAGAAACAGTCCAAGTTCGCGTAGACTACAATCAGTCTTCAGAATTTCAGATAGAGAAGGTGAGATTACAGAAGAAATAAGAGGAAATATTTTGTGGATTAATCGTAAGAATCGCCTCTCACTAAAAATCATTCCCGCTCGGATCAGGTATCTTTCTGCGTTGCAGAGTTACATCTTCTAGAAGAGCCAGACACCATACGTAATTGGCAATGTAATTCAAGTCTATACATTGTCTACAGTCTGTTATTTAAAATAATATAATTGTTAGTTGTTTTAAACTACATCATCGGTTGTTCACGTGCATATCTTTCTTCTAGATCAGCGATTATCTAATAAAGACACAAGCAATCGTGGAGATAACAAGAGAAAGTTATTTCAAAAACA